TATATTATTTATAATTAATTTGTTAATAGATAAGTTTATATAATGATTTAAAAAGTTGTATCTATACATAGATATTATTGTAAAATTATTAGTTTGTGAAATTTTATGATAATTAAAATTTATATTATGTTTATTTTGAATTCAGCAAAAAATAGTATTAAAATGAATATAAATATTACATTTATTAAAAGTATTATGATTTACGTATAAAAAAAATAAAAAAAAATATAATGATAAAGATCTAGTTGATGATTAATTCTTTTGATTTTTGTAAAATTAATATTTTTCAGTTTTGATTATTTTATATAAATGTTAAATTATTTTATGTCATTTTTATTTTATTCACAACTAATTTAAAAATATTTGAAAATATGAAATTATTTTAAAAATATCTATTTGAATTTTAGTAAATAAGATTCTAAAAAACTATTGTATTAATTTTATATTAGACATTAATTATGAAATTACTAAAGAAATATTAATAAGCAAATTAGTATTTCTTTAGAAATATTAAATTATACTAAAAAATTATTTTTAAACACGTGAAATATATTTTAATTTATAAAATATTATAAATAATACTTATAATTATTATGATTATTATTTCTTTTAAAATTATTTTTTTAGCTAATTTGACACTATGTTGCAAAATAATTATTAGATGAATTATCATTGAGTGAGGTGTTGAAAATTTTTTAACCATTAGATTTAATTGACAATTTTATTGTTAAAAAAAATTTATTAATTATTATTGAGAGTAAAATTTAAATAATATTTTTGTTTTAAGTCTAAAATCTGTTAAATAAGATCGTTAGTGATTCTTAGTTATTTTAATTTTTATTTATAATCATATTTTTCTATCAATAAATTTTGAATTTGAATTGTTATTTAAATTGATTGAGCCTAAAATCAATTGAATGATGGATTTGTTGGTGTAGTTAATTATCATGAATATGAAGCAGGAGAAATTGAATTATTTTTTGTCTTGGGGTGTTGCATGGTGGAGAGAGAGAGAGAGAGAGAGAGTCAAAATGCTTCCCACTAGTGGTCGGTATGGCGGTGGACTTTTGCCCAGGGCATGTGATTCCTACCGCTCCGCCTTTAACGGTCATATTTTTATAGCCGTTGAGTTTAGCCTTAGCTTTTCTTTTTAAATCCCCATTCAAGTGCTCCTCTATGTCACTTCCAACGCCACAACCATTTCTCATTATTACTATAAATAAATTAATTAAAGATAACTAATCACTTTATCACTCTTAATCCTGATTAATAAATTCAGACAAGGATAACCTTGTCCTTGTCTCAACTTGGTTTTGCTGCACCACTGTTCCCTTTTGTCACGTCTCATGATGTTATGTTATCTCAATGGCTCATACTCCCAAGTAACACCACAGCACCATTCAATTTTATTAACCATCCATGTCTGCCCTTGCTAGTAGTAAAATTTTTGTTTATCAATAAAATTATTTTCTTTATTATTAACATTATAATCTAAATTATCATTTTGTGTTACTTTGATTAACAATTTATAAAAAAAAAATAATAGTAATTTTTCATAAAACGAAAGTAGTGTATGAGATAAGGCTTTAGAGGATTAATAAAAAGAGACTTTACTGATGTACTTGATCAAACGGTCCACATGGCACCACATAGACGCACACGATACAAATAAATATAAATAGCCTTCTTTCTCTTCTCTCCCAAAGTTATCATAAAGAGGCGAAGAAGGTAAGTGGCCGTTAGACACAAAAAGAAAAAAACGAAAAATGGGTTTTGTTTCTGCGAAAGTGATTCTCATCTCCACCGGGGTTTTATCGATGGCAATGGGATTCAAACTCACACTCCCTTTCATATCGCATTTCCTCCTCACCCAAGCCCCGCACGTGTGGACCTTCTTCCTCACGTGCTTCACTCCTCCCTACCTCTACATCCTCCTCAATTTCATCATCCTCACCATCGTCGCCACTTCCAAACTCCACAACCACTCCCCGCCGGAAGACACCGTCCTCCCCCCCTCCGCCGTCCAGATCCCCGCTCCTGACACCGTCGACTTCTCCGCCGTCGCATCTGACAATTACCTTTACGAAACGGAAACCAAATCGAGCCACGATGCAGTCGCGGAAGCCAACGGTTCCGTCGGTTACGTTTACGACGAGAACACGCCGGTGAAGGCGACGGTTAACGACGACGACGATGCCGTCTCTCCGAGCTTGCAGAGGAAAGATTCGTTTGCAGACGAGAACGAGAAACCGCCGGTTTCTGCCAGATTCAATCACCGGAAAGCCGTGAGAGCAAGTCCCGAAGGTATCGTAACTTTAACCGTTTATATTGCACAAGCAGTTATTCAAGTGATTTTGTTACCGTTTCTCCGGTTTTAAGCTTCATTCATTAATTTACCTAATAAATCTGTTCATGCATAGAAATTCAAATAAGACTTGTATAGAACTGTAGTTTGATTTAATTAGTGAAAAATAACAAGTGAAAAAGAAAGAGAGAAGTAAAATTTGTGATGTGATTTGTAGGAGGGAAGGTGGTGGCGTTGGGAGTGGCGAAGGCGAAGAAGCAGGAGACGTTGGAGAGCACGTGGAGGACGATAACGGAGGGGAGAGCGATGCCGTTAACTCGGCATTTGAAGAAGGCGGAGACGTGGGAGACGCAGGGGACGCCGTTAAGGGATTTGAACGGCGGAGCGGTGATGAAGAAGTCGGAGACGTTTGCGGGGAGGGAGAAGAACGCGTCGACGAGGCTGAGGAAGGAGCCGTCGCTGAGTCAGGACGAGTTGAACCGCCGAGTGGAAGCGTTCATCAACAAGTTCAACGCCGAAATGAGGCTGCAGAGGCAGGAATCGCTCAGACAGTACAGGGAGATGATGAATCGAGGAACTCACTGAGCACACACACAACACACAACGCATTTCTACATGCTACACTCCAATCCAATTTGGGGGAAACGAAGAAAACGGTGCCGTTTTTGGAACCTCGAATTACAGAACACACTGTGATTATTGGTTTTTCAGGTAAAGGATGAATCAAACACAGTTTTAGTTTAGTGTGCATCATGGAAAAAATGTTTTGCTGATATTTTCAATTTCCATGAATTGGATTTTATTTTTATTTTTTTGGTTCTTTATGTTAATAGTTTGCCTATGCTTTTTAATGCAATCTTCCGATTGCGGAGGAAATGTTTTGCTCATATTTTCAATTTCCATGAATTGGATTTTTTTTTAATGCTTTGAATGCAATGTTCGATGAGCGACGGAGAGTTTGAACTGATTAATAATAGACTTGAATGCATAGTAAATGAGGAGTTGTGTGCGAAAGTAAATGAAAACGTCCAAAATTTTCCAGAATAGGATTAACTTGTGGCCCACAACAACGTTTAATAGGTTCGAGTTTGAATTCGAATGGATGAATAATTGAATTTACGATTTCTTGTATAATCACATCATCAAATTATTAAAAATAGAAAATTTGAGCTTAATTCAATAATATCGTGTATATTCTTAGAATAATTGAATCTACAATTTCTTGTATAATCACACCATCAAATTATCAAAAACATATATATTCTTATAATGGTGAATTTTGAATTTAACTTAAATACTCTTTTAATATATTTCTTCAAGTTTAGTATTATTGAACTTAGTACGTAGATCCTTCACGTCCAGCATTATTTACTTTTTTTTTTTATCAGCTAAAAGAAATGTATTAAGGAGGTACTAGGGGTGTTAAACCCAAATACAAGAATGTTGAGAAATAAGAAAGAAGTTACAAATAGTCTTATACTATTCTAAAATTATATGTTCCTATCATGAGTAATACAAATTTCTGTTGCGATGTGGTGTAAAACATGTCTCCCACATGACCCATTGCATGTTGATAATGACATTTGATGTGTCCTACTGCAATCATTGAGTGACTCTTTTATAATAATTTAGGATAGGTGATCATTTTTTAAAGATTTAGAATAACTTTGATATCATTTTAAAATAATGGATTTGAGTCTGATTCAACCTTGTGAAATTGATTTGTAAGTGAGATTGTTCTCCACTTATATACTATTTAATTGTCTAATTTCTAATCAATTTGAGATTTAAATTTTTTTAGATTTAATCATCCCTACACTGTTAGTGTAAAAAATTTTACATTGACGACCAATCATATCTTTTAAATTATTTTATTTTACTTTTATTTAATTAAATGAGCAAATGACATGACACTATCAAGAGATATGATTGGTTGTCTACATAAAAATTTTTACACTAATAATGTATAGGTGATTAACTCTTTTTTTAATATATAAATTCTTCTAGTTTTTGCATGACGATCCCTTCCCCCTTTCCTCACAAAAAGGGATAGAAAGGCATAATATTCTAGCCAAATAGCCTGCCCCCTGTGTCCAAAGCCAGTGCCAGCTAATGAGACATGCCATCCATCCCCTACTTCTATTGGATCGAGAATGGATTCGACGTTCTTCTACATGGATGTCTTCAATGAAGAAGTTAATAAAAGCAAATAGGTAAAAAAGGGGTGTAGCGGATTTGATCCTCCCCTAACTACTACTCGAATTCATCCCTCTCGGTAAGTGAAGCTCCCTCCACCCGCCGCCCTCTCTATCCGCTAACTTCGGTACCCGAGGCATTTCCCTCACATGCTGAAGAAAGAAAACCCCTCACATTGACGACCAATCATATCTTTTAAATTATTTTATTTTACTTTTATTTAATTAAATGAGCAAATGACATGACACTATCAAGAGATATGATTGGTTGTCTACATAAAATTTTTTACACTAACAATGTATAGGTGATTAACTCTTTTTTTAATATATAAATTGTTGAGAGTCAATAATATATATACACTTACAATAAAAAAAACATTTATATGTTGTTATGGAAGTTTCTTTCTCTTTAATTTTACTTGGTCTAAACAATAAAAAAGGATTTTTATCCTTTATATTTATTTCTGTATTATTTTGTCTTGCATTTTAAGAAATTTAGAAGTGTTTTAGTTTTAGTGTTTTTTTTACCATTATGAATACTAAAATTTTCTATTGCAGTATTTAAAATAGTTAGTATTTTAGTTTGTATATTTTTATGTTATAAAATTAAAATTATAATAATTAAATTATTTTACTATATAAAGATTTATATATGAATATATTTAGCATATAAATTATTTTAAATTTATAATAAATAATTTATATTATAGTATAAAATTATTTTTAACTATTGATATTTTATTTATAAAACATTTAAAATTTGATTTAAAAAATAATTATATAATTATATATTAAAAAAGAGATTAAGAAAAAAATTTTAAAAACGTTCTTGTTAAAAAATTATAGTTAAATCTTTCCTTAAATTATGATACTTAAAAAAGCTTCGGTTCAAGTTAGTTCTAGTTTTTATGAGTCATTGCTTGCAGAACATCAGCGATTGCATGATCATTCCTACTTCTTGCCATTACTCTTCTGATCCACAGAAAAGTTAACAATTATACTATAATTAAATAAATAACAAACTTAATCAATCATCACACTAGCATATCAATAAGTTCCACAATCAATTCATTCCATCATTCATCTACCAAACAAGCATAGCAGACTCATAACTCATAATCGATTGGATCGACCTGCTCTGATACCACTAAATGTGACACCCTTACTACCCCATCACATATCTTGTAATAATGTAAATAAAATTAACGAATAAATTTTTTAATGTAACACCCTAGTTTTCATACTTTTTATGGAGGGTAATTTAGTAATTTTCATAAGATTTATTAAGGGTATTTTAGTAGCCTAGAATGGCCCGTTCCCAAATTGGAACGGGCCGTTCCAAACTACTAAAAAGACATATTTTTGGTAGCCTAGAGCGGGCCGTTCCAAACCACCAAAATGGCCTATAACCCTAGTTGGGAACGGACCATTCCAAATATGGACGTTGTGAGTTAAAACTCATCTCTGGAAGGGGCCGTTTTGGTTTGAGAACGGGCCATTCCAGATGTGAATTTTTCACTTGATGAAAGGATCCAAAATAGGCTGTTCCGGATCTGAAACGGACCATTCTGGCCACTCCTAAAATCTATAAATAGAACACTCTAGCATTATTTCTGGACACACTCTCTGGAGACCAAGGAGAACCAAGAGAAGGAGATCAACCAGATTCGCCTCTAGCTTCGCCTTCTACTTATCCAGGTAAAGGGGGAGTGAGAAACCTCGCTCGGGGGTGTGAGATTTTCTATTGCAGTATTTAAAATAGTTAGTATTTTAGTTTGTATATTTTTATGTTATAAAATTAAAATTATAATAATTAAATTATTTTACTATATAAAGATTTATATATGAATATATTTAGCATATAAATTATTTTAAATTTATAATAAATAATTTATATTATAGTATAAAATTATTTTTAACTATTGATATTTTATTTATAAAACATTTAAAATTTGATTTAAAAAATAATTATATAATTATATATTAAAAAAGAGATTAAGAAAAAAATTTTAAAAACGTTCTTGTTAAAAAATTATAGTTAAATCTTTCCTTAAATTATGATACTTAAAAAAGCTTCGGTTCAAGTTAGTTCTAGTTTTTATGAGTCATTGCTTGCAGAACATCAGCGATTGCATGATCATTCCTACTTCTTGCCATTACTCTTCTGATCCACAGAAAAGTTAACAATTATACTATAATTAAATAAATAACAAACTTAATCAATCATCACACTAGCATATCAATAAGTTCCACAATCAATTCATTCCATCATTCATCTACCAAACAAGCATAGCAGACTCATAACTCATAATCGATTGGATCGACCTGCTCTGATACCACTAAATGTGACACCCTTACTACCCCATCACATATCTTGTAATAATGTAAATAAAATTAACGAATAAATTTTTTAATGTAACACCCTAGTTTTCATACTTTTTATGGAGGGTAATTTAGTAATTTTCATAAGATTTATTAAGGGTATTTTAGTAGCCTAGAATGGCCCGTTCCCAAATTGGAACGGGCCGTTCCAAACTACTAAAAAGACATATTTTTGGTAGCCTAGAGCGGGCCGTTCCAAACCACCAAAATGGCCTATAACCCTAGTTGGGAACGGACCATTCCAAATATGGACGTTGTGAGTTAAAACTCATCTCTGGAAGGGGCCGTTTTGGTTTGAGAACGGGCCATTCCAGATGTGAATTTTTCACTTGATGAAAGGATCCAAAATAGGCTGTTCCGGATCTGAAACGGACCATTCTGGCCACTCCTAAAATCTATAAATAGAACACTCTAGCATTATTTCTGGACACACTCTCTGGAGACCAAGGAGAACCAAGAGAAGGAGATCAACCAGATTCGCCTCTAGCTTCGCCTTCTACTTATCCAGGTAAAGGGGGAGTGAGAAACCTCGCTCGGGGGTGTGAGAATAATTGTTGGGTAGTAGGATTGACCCCCAATCCCTTGCCTGATGCATGCTTCTAGGAACATGCAAAATATGAATATTTTCTGTTTTGCTTTCTGAATGTTCCGTTGCGTTCCTTATGTGATGTAGAGTGTGAATATGTATTTGATTTCAAAATTAAATATGATTTGATATGAATTAGAGTACTCTGTGGATTCTTGAGAGAACACTATGAGAAACATGCAAAATATGAACGTTTTCTATTTTGATTTCTGATTCTTCCGTTGTATTCCTTGTTGAATGAGATGTATGAATATGTGATTAATTTTGAAAATAGACAAGTTTTGATATGAATTAGAGTGTTTTATGGGTTCTTGTGGGAAACCCTATGAAGTAAAATTAGGAATATGATCTGTGGATGATTTGAGGCATTATATGTAAGTTGATGATGGCTTCATGTTTTGGATAAGTTCTTGGTATGATTTATGTACTATTTTGATGTATATAATTACGAGAAGTTTCTTGTATGAGACTATGTGAATATGATGTGAGAATGTGAAAGGTGAACATATGATCTGTGATATGACATTGTGAAATAATGTGATATGAGATACGATGAGATGTGAAATGTGAAATGTTGAGTCAATGAAATCGTGAATATATGACATGCATCATTTGCATTTATGAGCTAACCAAGTGTACCTTGGGTCACCACGTGATGTAACAAGCTAATCAGGTATACCTTTTGGTCACCAAGTGATTTAACAAGCTAATCAGGTGTGCCTTATGTCACCAAGTGATGTAACAAGCTAATCAGGTGTA